ACATGTCAATGTCCTCACCCTCCTGTAGCAGCTTCAGGCCTCCTGCTTCCCTCAAGACTCTTAACTGCATTTTCACATTCTCCAAAGTCATGGCAGTAATTTCCTGCTATTTAACACCATCCTAGTCACTACTATCTACCTCACTTCTGAATAGCTATCCTAAAATCTTACACAGCATTTCTATTTCTACTGTATATTACTAAAGCAAATATGGTTCTTTGCAACCATAAGATTTATTAGTAATCCCAGAATCTGAGAAGCCTGAGGTAGGATGTTCAGGGGTGGCCTAGGCAACGTCAAGCTCCTACCTCAGAAAAAAAACAACACAAAAACTTATTTTAAAAAAGTATTTACTGGGTCTGGAGAGATAGATCAGTTGAATAAGCGCTTGCCTGGCAAGCCCAAGGACCTGAGTTCAATCCCCGGTTCTGAAAAAAGAAAAGAAAAGAAAGAAAGACAAGTATTTACCATAATATCAAGATTTTTTTTAAAAAAAAAAAGCATAACATTTTAAAAATTTAGGGGGCTTGGGCGATAGCTCAGCAGCACAGGGCCTGCCTGGCAAGCACAAGGTCTTGAGTTCAATTTGTGGCACAAAAATAAATAAATAAAGGAGTACACGGGTTCATTCCTCCCAGCCCTATTAACGAAACACAAATCAGACTTCAAAAATGTACAGAATTGAAATGTATTCTGTAGAAATCAAAATCAATTATATTTAAAGGTAATAAGTATACCTAGGAGTCTTTCCTAATAAAGGAAACTAAATGTCAGATATAGGGGTTTTGTACTTTTACAGGACTATATTTTCCTTTAGGATTTATTATTGTATGGGTGGTTGAGAGCGGAAAGCAGAAAATAAAACAATACTTCCCTAAAATAGAAAACACTATTAATATCAATTAAACTTCCATAAAAAAAGTCATTTGTCTGAATAAGCCTTGGTAAATAAAATTGAGTCTTACTAAGTACAAGTAGGCGCATAGTTTCTCTGGAATTTAAAAACCGTTCAACTATAGATTAGCAGATTCACTGCAAAATGAGTTGTGCAATCAGAGCTATTCATAGATAAGCATGATTGAATTATAGATGAATAACAAGCCAACTGAATAAAGTCCATTTACTAAAAGCAAGCAAATAAACTGTTCAGTGTTCGCAATTATAAAGAATGAATTATTACATTTTTCCCACACTCAATTAAGATTTTACATTCTTCCATTATTTGAGGTAGAACTAAATCATCTATACAAATGTATAATGACCTTCAAGAACAACCATTCTAGTAGTGTTCTTTTTTTTTGAGACACGAGCTGGCTTTCAAGTGCAGGCTGGCCTTTAACTCACCTTGTAGCCCAGGCTGGTCTCGAACTCAGAGCAATCCTCAGGCCTCAAGCTCCTGAGGCTCACAGGTGTGTCCCACTATGCCCTATCTAGTATTGGCATCCAATTAACTCAGTGCAAGAAATCAAAAGCTCTGATCCTTGGATTTTTAGTCACAAAAAATATTACAAAATTGGTCTTGTGAAAGGACTGCTTTTACTTTTGAAATCAAACATGGAATCATGTTTTCCAGTCTTAAAAGTAAAAATAATTTTAAAGAAATGGAACTATTTGAAATAAAATTGAATGTTTTGAGAAAAATTATTCAAAAATCTTGATGCAAAGCTACAGCAATGGTTTCTTCAGTTTCATAAAACATTAATGAATGGTTACATAATCCACTGGATTAAGAATTTTAAAGAGAACCACAAGAATCTCTTTCAATTTTCAATACTGGTTTCTCTGTCCACATATAGATAATAACAGATCTAAGCAGCTAGACATAGCGGAGCACACTTTTAATCCTAGCCTCCTGAAGAAGGATCTCCTTGAGTTTGAGGCTAGCCTGTATTCATAGTGAAACCCTGACTTGAATAATAACACCAACAAGAAAACGTCTAAACTTCATCTAATTTTCAATAAGAATGTCAGAAAAAGGGTAGTGCAAACATAAATTACATGTTCTTAATATAACTTAAATTGAACATTACAGATTACATCGAGGCTCCTCAAATAAATTAAATTTCCAACATACACCACATCTAGCTCACTCTCAGGGGAGAAAAGACATCAAAACAAAAGCTCCTGCTTACTGAGCAATTCCTCTTTGCAGTTAAGTCTCTAGCCCAGTGCATTTTGCTGTCTTCTCTCTCCAAAAACCTAGAAATCATATTACTGGTACTTTAAAAGGTCTATGTGTTTTGTTTTAGTGTAAGACATGAAAAACTTCAAAATACTTTTACTCCCTAACAACAAAAGACTTTGCTTTTTCTCTTTTGAAATGTTTATTTTGCTTATTGTCCATACATGCAATGTTCTCAAACCTGTTCATTTCACTTTGTGTTTACTCTCACTATGTGTATATTAATATTTTTTCAGACAATGCTTTATAGTATGTTGGTTTAAAAAAGGGGGGTGAGGGGCTGGTGAGATGGCTCAGTGGTCTAAAGCACCTACTTAGAACAAGCTTAGCAAAGCACAGGGACTGCGGTTCAATCCCCCAGCACCACATGCCAGCCAGCCCCGCCCCCTGGTGGGCTGAGCTGGCCACACACACACACAAAAAAAAAAAATAAAAAAAAATAAAAAAGAGGAGTGAAAAAGAGGGCAGAAGAGAAAGAAAAGCAGACAACATCTGAAAAACAGCACTCAGTTTCTCTGCCTCAAATTCCCTTAAGTCCTCACGCCAAAGATTCTTAATATCCACAAAAGTCCCAGGGTCAAAGGCACAACAAATAGTGGTAACACTAACATAAGAGAAGTCAAATCAGAAAGTAAAATTTAATGGACTAATCACTTCTCAAACTTTTGGCTAAAATCAAGTGAAGAAACTTAAGGAACTATCTTACCACTTAAGAAACACAAGAAAAAAATGATTAAATAATGACTCAATCCCTGGACACTGGAAGGCTGCTTTTGCTATAAACTGTAGGGCTCAAATGCTTTTGAAACTTTTCTAACTGCAAGAAATACATTTTACACTGTGACCTAGTACATATAGTTGTGAGAAGTTTCCCAAAACATTTCCTTACCAAGTAAGTACAACACTAGTCGACTCTGCTGTTTGTGGTAAGCTACAAAATTTTACTATAAATTAATCATGATCCACAATTTAAAAGCGCAGGATTTAGAAAGGGTCTCCTTGGGTTGGACTTGTGGCTCACTGCTAGAGCACCTGCCTATTATGAAGAAGGTCCTGCAGCCCCTTCCAAAGACCACCAAAAATACTCTTTTTACAATTTTCCTTTACTTGTTTCATTAGCAGAATGGACAGGTGTTTAGGGTTGCTAATTATTACTATTTTCATTAAAGCAAGTGCTCTTAAGAGTATGGCCTCGCAGCCAATATAAGGCCCTTGAGATAAATTCCTGAGCCCCAGCCGAACACCTACAGAATCAGACCCCAGGTAAGGCCGGCCAATCTGTAGTTTACCAGGCCCTCTGGGTAAATCTGATGTAAGCTAATGTTTGAGAACCACAGTATTAAAGAACCCAGGTCTTTATTCCCCACTTATCAATCCAATACACAGATCTGACTATAATGCTAGTCACTACTCTACAAATATTAGCGCATGTAAAAAAAAAAAAAAATTAAGTCCTCTTAAGTAAAAACTATTAGTAATTCTAGTACACAAATTAAAAATAAAACAAAACAAAACGTAGAGCTTAAGTTGACCAAGCAAAGTGGAACTAGGACTCAAACTTATTTTCACTTTAGCAGGGTATGCCTCCCCTAGTAATGAATATCCGCTTTCTGACCAAGTCTCCAGTTCTATTCCTTTAGCTCGGCTACTCCTCCTTTTTCCCTCTCAAATTCCTCATCCTGTCAAGGTCCTTATGTTCTAGTATTGTCGCAGTCGTCCTAACCACATTTCTAACGCACCAGAATGCAAGTCACTTTATCTTGCTATTAGGACTTTTTCTCTGTTCCTAGGGGGCATCTTTGTATTAATTATGGAGCTGAGGTCTTCTCTTGCTGAAGACCACAGAATCCACTAGTGGCACCACTGTTAAAATTTCCAGCATCTACTATCCCGGCCAGTTTTTACTAGACGATTACCGCTCTCCCTGCGCAACCAGTTCCGTCGCTCCCTCCACCAACCTACTATAGACCGATTAGGGGAAAATTCTTCTTCCCCTCTCACCTCCATCCCGCTTCGCTTCGGGGAACTTCCACTCACCCCGCTGAACTCTCGCCCCCGTCCCCAGCCCGGTCTACTCCTGCAGGCTTCTCTCCCGGTGCCCCGGGAGCTTCGGGTCAGGACCAGCCAGTCCAAGCTCGGGCCCCGTCCGCTGGGCGCTGCGGGTCTCCGCCGCCACCCCGCGACCCTCCGAGCCCGCCGCTCCCGCAGGAGCCGCGCAGGAGCGCCTCCGCCTCTCGCGGACAGCCGCCTTCCTCGGGAGGGCTCCCGCCCCGCGGACGCCCCCGGCCCCAATCCCGGCTGCCCCGTCACCTCGGACCCCTCCTCGGCCCCCGAGGGCCACTCCCAGTCCCCTGGGCCCCCGGCGGTCGACACGCCGTCCGCCGCCGAGCTCCCAGGGCTGCCTTTCTCCTGCTCCCCGAGGTACCCTCCAGTCACCCCGCCCGCCCGCAGAATGGTCACCCCGGGTCACCGCCCTCTCAGGGACCCTGGCCGCTCCCGTTTCCTCAAGCAGTAGCGCTCGCACATCGGCGGCCAGTCAGCGCCCCGACCCTGCCGGCGGGGCGTCCCAAGGGACCTCCCGGCCTCACTCGCTCGGTTCCGGCGCCAGCCGACGCTGCCGGCGAGAACTCCGCCGCCAGGAACCGGGCCATTCTCCCACCGACAGTCGGACCGAACTCGCCGCCGCCCCCGCCCTGGCGCCGGCCGCGACCTGGCCCGGGGCCCGGACCCCCTTCCTCAGGCCGCCACCCCGGAGCGCCGGACCGGAGCTTCCGCCCGCGACGGCCTCCAGACCTCAGGGCCGCGTTACTGCACTCACCTGCCGCTGCCCGCGACCAACTCCACCGCCGATGCCTCTACCTCGGCCGCCAGTAGCCACCTAGCGCCACCACCTCCCCCATGACAACAGGCCCACCCCGTAGCAGACTTCCGACCCATCCATTGGACAGGGGGCGGCAGCTCTCTACTCTGATTGGCTCAGCTCACTTGCCGGTCATCGCGGCTTTACCGCCCCTTTTCCTGGACCGGGTATTCGCCCCCACCCGGACCTGGCGCGACCTAGCCCAAGCTCTACTTGTATTGGTTGGGGCCTAGGCTGGTCGAAGTTATGATAGGCTGCTGGAAGAGTCTGTTAAGTTAACTGGCAAGGGATGTGACGGCCACAGTTGTTTCCAGCTTGTGCACAGTTTGGTTGCGCCGTAGAAAGCTGAGCCGGGGCCGGAGCGTAAATCTGAGGTTACCTGGGAAGGGTTAACTCTTTGTTGTGGAGCGCACGCTGTAAGCGTTTCTCTCTTTCCAGCTGCTGCCTCCGGGGCTTACCGAGGCCGGCTTATTCCTATTAGTAACACCTGCAAAATTTGTGTTATGTGTTTCAAACCCCTTGGGAAAAAGGTACCGTTTACATAAACATTTCCTTTTCTTGAGTTCCCAATATGCCCAATTTATTGAAGCTCTTTCCAGGAATCCAAGTGCTAAAATCAAAGTGCGGCCCTTTGTATCAGTCCACTTCAGTTGAATATATAATCATCGTCAATAAACTTTTAAGTATGGTGTTGAGATTCTTCAGTTTTTCAACCCACTCCTGGCTGACTTCTGCCAAATAACCAGACAGCAGACTATAATCAACAAATTTTGAATAAACAGGCCGCATGTTACCTTGTCATGCCCTGAAAATGAGAACGACACTTTTAACCACCTCCCTCTCCTGCTTGGCTTTTATGTTCAGCAATTTTTGAATAGCTCTATTAGCCGTGTGTCAGATACTTTAAATGCTTGTCTTCCCCCCCCCACCACCAAATTCCTCTTCCTAGCAGCCTAAATTAGAGCTATGAATGAATTGTGGGGTTCCCCCCCACACTTGGCACAATGTACAAGAATAAATGATTGCATTCTTATTCATTTGGGTACAAATCACAGTAGGCATTTTTGAGAAATCTGGTGTTGCTATTAAAAAGTCTTGTGCTCCTAGAAATACATCCACTTTTTTACTTCTTTTCATTTCCACCCACTTTTTCTGTTCCTAAATAAGAAAATGCTGGGAGGAAAAATTTTGGCCCAATTACTCTTTCAATTTCTAAATCAGATTTAAATATACTTCCCCCACAACTTCCACAATATGCAAACCCATGGGCCACTAAATGTAGGTCAGGGAAAGGGGTGTTTGGGGCACAGTTGAAGAGCATTCTCTTCACAAGCACCATTTTATGATTGGGAACTTCCTGTGGGACCACGAGTCTGGACTTGGGAAACTTTGTACTTTGCCTCTACCTTCTTCCTGCTAACTCTTTGTCCCATATCTCTTCTGTTTGCTAACCTCCTGTCCTTTAAAGAGTAAGCTTTGAAGAGTAAGCTTTTGGGAGTTTAGAACTGTATGTTTTTATTCATAGGGGTAAAAACTGCCTTCTAGCTTATATTTTTAATCAATTTAAATAAACTACACACTTCTACCACCAAACTAAGTGGAAATTATTCCTCCAGTAACTGTACAGAAAAGAAGGTATCTTTTCCTAGTTACTTTCTGGAACTTTCCTTCCTCTCTGTCATCCTTCTAATTTAGAAATAACCTCCCATTCACTTCAGTGACTCACAAAGTCTGTCGAAGGAAAATGGAAAAGCCAAAATAACTTCAGAGATGTCTGAATCATTTAGTGAAAGGAAAGATTAGGCACTGACCACAATAAGATAGGAGTGGAGACAGAAGGCCTGAGCTAACACTCAATAACAAAGTAAAGTGCAAATGTGAGAATGCCCCAATGTCCTTTTACACAGCCATTTAATATGTGACTAACAGCTTTCTTCTCTCCAGTCTTGGCAGTGTGCTCTATGCCAATTTTAGAGCAAGTTAGAAGGCAGTTAATGTAGATAGGAAACACTAATGGGAGGGCCTGGTCATGATTATGGTGCTTTGTGTAATGATGGCTCTTGCAGAGCCACAGTGACTAGGGGCTACAGAGAAGGTAGAATTAGGCTAGTCTCACTGCGAGGACTTGCCATTTAAGTTTAGGAACTCAGAGCGACTCACTTGGCTGTGGCGGCCCAGGCGCCCTTCTGGTTCTCCCCACCGACAACATGCTCCAGTTCCTGCTTGGATTTACTTTTGGCAACGTGGTGGGAATGTACCTGGCTCAGAACTATGACATACCAAACCTGGCTAAAAAACTTGAAGAGATTAAAAAGGACCTTGAAGCCAAGAAGAAACCCCCTGGCTCCTGAGGCTGCTGCAAGCACTGCGTTCCACACACACTGCTCTCCTGCCTGCGGTGGCCTCCCTGGCCTTCTGTTCCCAAATTTTTCTGTGTGCTGTCTCCAGTGTCAGTGATGTTCCTCTTTGCTAGACTACGTGGCCACAGCGTGAAAATGGGGTCCCAAGTAGGAACTATTCTTCACAATTTCAGCTCCTCACGTCTTCCCATGTCTTTTTTCCAGCTCTTCGGGAGGCTCAAAGACTGAAATTGTGGTGCTAGGCTGGCAGATTCGACCCTTATTTAGTAGTTTCCTCTCGTTTTTGGGATTCGTATTTTTTGTCAAAAGAAAAATTGTGATGTTTGTATAGTTGAACAGATACAAATAATGCTGAATCCAGAGTTTAGTGATTATAATGGGTGCTTGTTAAACATTTGTTACTAAACTTTTTGTTTTGAACTATTAAAATTAATATCTAGAAACCCCCCCAAAAAAATTTAGGAACTCAGTGAAATTACTCTGACAAAATTTGGGGGGGAAATACCACAGAGGTGAGCTATTCATTCTGTTTCATACACCTTTTAAAAAGGTGAAAAAGTAAAAAAATAAAAATTAAAGAGGCTTTTATAAATGCTTTTGTTAAAATGCATGCATATACATTTCTTTTGTTCCTATTCCTTGTAAAAATCAGTTAAGAAACAATGTAGGGACTGGGGAGATAGTTCAGCAGTGTAAGAGCCTGTTGGCAAGTGAAAGGACAGAGGTTCAATCCGCGTGTACCTCATGCCATGCTGGTTTGGCACCGTGGTGGCCACAGAAACTGGGCATGGGGGTATACGCTTGTAATCCCATTGCAGGGAGGCTGAGACAAGAGACTCTGCAAGTGTGAGCTGCGTAGGGATACTTTGTACCAAATAAATAAAAGATTTGTTTTTTAAAAAAGAAAATGTAAAATAGATACAGTAAGAAGAAGGAAACCCTTAAAGAAGATTTGTTTTTTTCAAAAAGAAGGAAACTTTTTTCAAAAAGGAAGATTTTAAGAAACATGCTTTGAACTAATACATTATTGTATTATCAAAGACTATGTCAGGGGGCTGGTGAGATGGCTCAGTGGTCTAAAGCACCTACTTGGAACAAGCTCAGCAAAGCACAGGGACC